ACCTCCTGGGGGGATCCAAATGGAAATCTCTTCTCCATTCTCCAGGGATCTTGGGCATGTGCACCACACACACATGATTCTGAAGCCACTAGGGGTGGGCCATGTGGGAGTCCATCAACATAATCACTACGCCATCTGCTGGCCCCTTGATAAACTTTTTTTTTTTTTTGGAGCAGTTTTTGCCTAAGGGCGTGTGCGCTCGCCAGAGAGAGAGACATAGAGACAGAAAGCGAGAAATCACCCCCAGGGGGGATGGTCACACCACAATCCCTTCTCCTCCATTCTCCTCTCGGGATCTTGGGCACGCACGCACACACACCCGGTGTGAGTTTTAAGCCACCGTGAACAGCGGTCAACTACGTGGGAGTCCAGTGACATAGCCATTCCGCTAACTGCTGGTTCCCGATAAACTTTTTTTTAAAAGAATTATTTTATTTAACTCTATATTTTAAGTTTATTTATTTAGACCAGAGAGGGACAGAGTGTGTGTCAGAGAGAAAGAAAGTGAGAAAGCAAGCCACCAGGTCTGGGATTTGAACCATGGTCAGCCACATGGGAAGTCCAGTACCCTTAACCATCATGCCACCTGCTGGCCACCCCTTGATAAACTTTTTGAAAGTTCATGGAAGATATGTATTATGAAAAAGCTGTTTTATTTTTTGCACTAAAACAAACCTGTACTGTTTCATTTCCCACGAACTTTTCAAAGTCCCCTTGCATTTGTGTAACGACTTGGTGTTTCCCCTGCCCTGCTCAAGGACTGTCCTGGTCACTCCGTACCCAGAGCCCAGTACCTCCTGCACACTAGTTTCGCAGCCCAGCTGTCTCCAGACTTGGGCGAACTGGGCTCAGGGCCGGACCAGGGTCTCCGTTCTCGTTGGCCATGTTTGGGGCAGCATTTATTCTGCATACACTGAGGAACCAAGAGCTGTCAGCTGGAGCAGGAGTGGGGGGAGTGGAGCTCACACAGCGTCATCAAGTATTGCACATGGTCCTTTTATTCTCCGCGGCAAAAACGATTCCTGCCTGTGGACCTAGAAGCCTCAGGTCGGCAGGGAACTGTTATCTAGAGATGGGAGCATGATGATGGTAACAGCAATCTCAGGGGAGTGGCTTTAGACGGTGGCGTTGACAGGGCCCTCGGGCCTGAGTCCCAGGATGGCTCCCGGGCATGTTCTGGTCACTGCTGGGTTAGGAGGACGGATGGAGCTGTTAAAGACCCCCAGATTCAAATGTCCTTGTGGCAGGTGGAGAACTGGGTGAGGGGGAGATGCTTTCCAGAGGAGGCCACCCCTCCCCTCAGTTTTTCACATCTCCCAGGCGGAGCTGGGCGAAGGAAGTGGCCAGCTGCAGCGCCTCCTGCAGGCAGCCCACGTTCTTGCCCGTGGCCTGGGCGGACACGTCCTTGCCGCCGCCTTTGCCGTCCATCAGGCCTGACACCTGCTGCACCCACTCGCTGGCTTTTAGGCCTCGGTTGGCTGCGTTCTAGAAGACAGGAAGGGGTGTGAGGGTGAGGACAGAGGATGGGGTTGCAGGAGGGGTGCAGGGAAAGAAAAAGGACGAGGAGTCAAAAACTACCCCCAGGCCGGGTGCTGCTGCCAGGGGTTGGGGCAGACACCACGGCTGGGACACGGTGGCCACTGCCAGGACACGAGCAGGGTCGGGCGAAGCTGGGTGTCGGGAGGCATGGCTAACATTGTTCACCAAGGAGGAGGCCCAGGGGTGAGGGGACTGGGGAAAGGGACATGGGGCAGGAGAATGGCTGTTTCTAATGAGGTCTCCACAAACAAACGGAAGAACGCCACCCTCTGAAAAGCCACGGAGACACTGCCTGCAGGTGCAGGGGTGGGGTCTCGAGCAGGCAGCAGCTCTGACCTGGGGCACCTGACACAAGCACGTGATCTTGCCGGCTTCGTTGTCCACCGTGAAGAGCATGGCAGACGTCTGCGGGGAATGCGTCTTGAAGAGCTTCAAGGCTTCGTTCAGGGCCTGAGGGGAGAAGCTAGCATCAGGCTGCAGCCCACGGTGGGCTTGGCTCTCAGAGCCTGCCCATAGCCCACAGGCCCTTCCGAGAACAGCTGCTGGCCAAGGCCCCACGCACAGGCCCCGTTGCCCTCTGTCTCCAAGGCTGGCCTCCCACCTCTGGGGGGCTGCTCCTCCCTTGCCAGGAGCTCCCCTGCCAGGAGCTCCCCTGCCAGTCACCAGGTCTCCTCCCTCGGCCCAGCCAACCCCAACCCCAGACAGTGGCCCTCAGACAGCCACCAGAAGGCCAGTGAGACCGAGGGAGCTGGCCCTGCCTTGGCCGAGGCGCCGTTCTCCATCTCCAGGATGACCAGGGGCTGGTTGGGGTTGCTGTCAATGAGCTGCTTTGTCCTCTCCAACACCTGCAGGGGGAAGCCCGGAGCTGCTCAGCGGAGGCCGACCCGCCAAGACGGCAGTCCCGCCAGTCTGTGCCCAGGGAGCCCAGCTCCCAGCCACCAGCATGCCCAGACCAGGACTCACTCGCTTCTGGACGTCGGCCTTGCTGGCCCGGTCTAGGTCGTCCATGACCTTCTTCAGGGATTTGAGCATCTCCCGCAGCTCATCTTTCTGCCACTGGGGGATGACGGCGGTGGCCAGGGCCTGGAGCAGGCAGGAAGACCACCAGGAGGTGAGGCCCGGCCCAGTCCGGTTCTCGCTTTGAACCGATGTCCTCCCACTACTGTCCGAAACGGGAGGGAAGGAAACACCAGGGCATCTGCCGGTCCGAGATGGTCACTCTGCGCATCGCAGCAGCTGTGACAGCAGGGCCCAGAGGAGGAGCAGGATAGAGCCCGAACTCTCATGTGAGACCGACCAGCTGCCCAAGGTGGTGAACAGCAGTGGACGCTGAACAGCAGTGAGCCCCAGGCTGGCTTCAGACAGCAGCACCCTCCTGCCTCCCCTAACCCTCAACCCTGTGGCTACAGGCCAGGGTCAGGGAGGTCCCAGCCAGGCCCTAGGACAATAGGAGACGGCCCAAAGGCCTGGCCCCCTGAAAGCCAGGATGTGGCCAGCCAATACGAGTGGTTTTGTTTTTGGTTTTTATTTTTATTTTTTTTAGAGGTTTTTGCTGTAGGGTGCGTGTGCTCGCCAGAAAGATGGAGAGAGACAGAGAGACAGAAAGCGAGAAATCACCGCCCAGGGGATGGCCACGCTGCAATCCCTTCTCCTCCATTCTCCTCTCAGGATCTTGAGCACGCACATGCACGCACCCAACATGAACTTAAGCCATCGGGTCCAGGACTCAAACCGCGGTTGACTACGTGGGAGTCCAGCAACATAGTCATTACACCAACTGCTGGTCCTATGTTTTTGTTTTTTATTTTAATTTGACCAGAGAGGGACAGAATGAGAAAGAGAAAGAGAGGGAAAGTAAGAAAGTAAATCACCAGGTCCAAGACTCGAACCGCAGTCGGCCATGTGGGAGTCCAGTGCCCTTAACCACCACGCTACCTGCTGGCCCCAGTGCAAATGCTGTAAGGACAGGGAGCATCTTAAGGGAGGGAGCGGGCTGCCCTACCTCGCCCAGGTCGGCAATCTCCCTCTGCACGTCCTTGTTCGGTGCGGTCTGGGCCTTCACCTTGGCCTCCATGGCAGAGAGAGACTTCTTCAAACTCTCCGCTTTCCTCAGGGCCTGGACGGAGGACAGTCAGAGTGGTGACCTCCAGGGGAGGTGACCAGGGCCTCGCTGTTCTCTGTACGGTGGTGGAAGCGCCGAAGGCGGCTTTGGAGCAACAGGCCCGTGAGAGCAGAGGGCTCTTTCCTTCAGGGACCAGGTACTGGCACACCGTACCCCAGGAGAGAGCACCTTCTCCACCCCTGACCAGCAAGGCTGCACCCGCACCAGGTTCGGGGGTCCGAGAACTCACGAGTCATGAGTGCCCCTCACCCCAGGAGATGAGCACCCACCGGGCTTCAGCACGCCCTGGACATGCTACCCCCAGAACAAGCGCCGCTCTCCACGCACCGCAGACTGGGCCCCCCCAGGGACACACAGGAAGCGCGGGGGTGCCTGACGCTGCAGCCAAGCCAGGGTGTGCACAGTCCACACCAAGCCCGCAGCAGCTAGGACGTCTGCGCTGGCATCTGGGGGCTGCCGCGCAGGGTGAGCGGGCCCCTGGGAGTAGCTAGGTCTGCACCTTCACCCTGACCGCGTAACTGTCTACCCCCTAGCTTCCAGGCCGGGCTCCTCCTGCCTCGTTCAAATCTGCTGCAAACCAGCCCGAGATGCTCACCTTCTGGGCCTCGGCACCTGTGACGGCCACGATCCTCCGGATCCCCTTGGCGATGGCTTCTTCAGTCACAATCACGAAAGCCCCCGCGTGACTGGAGTTCCGCAGGTGGCTGGAGGGCAGAGTGCAAAGCCGGGGTGACGAGGAGCCGTGGCACGCGGGCCTCTCTCCTGCACTGTGGGAGCCGGGGACCAGGCCGCGGGGACCTGTCAGGTAAGCCCCCGGGGCTCTCGAGGTGACAGAGGGCAAAGGCCCCTTGTATTTAAGGACATTCGGGGACACAGCCAGAGCTGAATGAGGGTGGGAGAAGCAGGAAGAAGGGGAAAAGAGAAGGACAAAGCCCGGCTGGAAAACATCCAGACCCTGCGCAAGGCACCAGCTCTCAGCCTCGTTTTCTCACTCACAAAATGGGGTAATTCTCCCTCACAAAGCTGCTGTGCCCCTGCACGAACCCCTGCACCCTGGCTGAGTTCCACTGTGGCCGTAAGAATAGCCTTGTCCCCAGGCTTCTTGGAACTGTCTGGCTGTTTCTAAGATGGCTGCGTGTTTTGCAAAGATAGGAGGTAGTCTCGCCACTTGTCCCCACCCTCAACGGGTGACGCCCAACTCCTAAGAGGCAGCCGCCCACCCCCTTCTGCCCCTGCCCCCGAAGCACTCACGTCCCCCCACAGAACTCCACAGAAGTCAGGGAGCCAGCAGGACCGGAGGGGTCATCCAGCAGCTCGGACACCGGGACCCCGATGGAGACGACTCGCACAGGGTCAGGGTAGGTCTCATCGAACACGGCCCGCAGGCCCTGGATAGCTTTTGCTGCCGCCAGGGGGCAATCCTGGGTGTAGACAGGCTAGGAAGGACAGAGACAGCTAGGTAAGATCTCTTCTGGAGGCACAGGGGAGGAGAGGAGAGCGTGGCCCCACAGGCAGGACTGGGGTCCTGGCCTGGCTCTGCCCGGCAGGCGCCCTGAGCCTCCCATAACAGCACACACACAGCTGAGGATCAAGACGGGGTCTCCAGCTGCCATTAAACTGGGAACCATGTCCGCTCCATGTGGATACGCAAGAGCTCCACCATCCTGGGGAGGAGGCAGGGCAGACTCACCCCACCTCGACCCCTAGCCCCCACATCCCTACAAAAGCAGGTCGGCCCACCCCCTTCTGCCCCTGCCCCCGAAGCACTCACGTCCCCCCACAGAACTCCACAGAAGTCAGGGAGCCAGCAGGACCGGAGGGGTCATCCAGCAGCTCGGACACCGGGACCCCGATGGAGACGACTCGCACAGGGTCAGGGTAGGTCTCATCGAACACGGCCCGCAGGCCCTGGATAGCTTTTGCTGCCGCCAGGGGGCAATCCTGGGTGTAGACAGGCTAGGAAGGACAGAGACAGCTAGGTAAGATCTCTTCTGGAGGCACAGGGGAGGAGAGGAGAGCGTGGCCCCACAGGCAGGACTGGGGTCCTGGCCTGGCTCTGCCCGGCAGGCGCCCTGAGCCTCCCATAACAGCACACACACAGCTGAGGATCAAGACGGGGTCTCCAGCTGCCATTAAACTGGGAACCATGTCCGCTCCATGTGGATACGCAAGAGCTCCACCATCCTGGGGAGGAGGCAGGGCAGACTCACCCCACCTCGACCCCTAGCCCCCACATCCCTACAAAAGCAGGTCGGAGGATTCCCACTTTAAGCAAATCTGCGTGCAGGACAGAGCTGGGACAGTGGAGCAAAATTACTGATTTCTGAGGCTCTGCAGGAGGAGCGTGACTGTGGGGCGGGAAGTTCGCGACCCAGGGGCTTCACCGCGATCCAACCTACCTTGGCCGCCTCGATCATCTCATTCGCAATCTCTTCGGCTTTCTTGATCTGTTGGGTAGACATGGCTCCCTTGGCGGTGAAGTCAAACCGGAGGCGGTCAGGAGCCACCAGGGAGCCTTTCTGGTCAGCTTCGCCGAGCACGCAGCGCAGGGCAAAGTTCAGAATGTGGGTAGCTGTGTGGTTGCTCATGACAGGTCTCCGTCGGGGCTGCAGAGGGCAGAGGGCAGAGGGCAGAGGAGAGGTCAGCAGCCGGCCGTGCCCAGTACCTGCTCTCCTCCCCACGTCCCGGGATTTAGGGTTGGGGGCATGGCTGCCAGGATGAAAACCATACTTTCCAGCTGCCCTGGTAGCCAAGTGTGGCCACATGACTAAGTTCTGGAGAACGGGTTATTGTTATTAACGGAAGCGAGGTATGTGCTTAAAGGGAGGCAATCTGCCCTCCCTCTCCTCTGGCAAACCGTGGCCCGTGGACCAAATCCGGCTGTGGTCTGCTAGCACCAGCCGTCAGGAAGAGCTTTAGGAACACAGCCTCATCCGTTCCTTTCCATGGTATCTGGCTGCGCGTGCATCACAACAGCAGAGCTGAAGAACTGTGGCAGACCGATGGCCCACAAAGCCAGAAATGTTAGCTATCTGGCCCTTCACAGACTGCCAACTGAGGGCCCAGCCGATGGTGTGGTGGTCAAGGTGGCTGGATCCCATGGGGCCGCCCGCACGGTTTGAGCCCTGGACCCCGGGGCTTTAGGGACACAGCAGGTGCTTATGTGTACATGCCCCAAAGCCAAAGAGAATGGAGGAGAAAGGATTGTGGGAATGCCCCCCACCCCCCAGACTGTCTGGTGAGTACACATGCCCTACAGCAGAATCTTAAATAAAATATGGAACTGGCAGTTGGCATAGTAGTTGCGGCATTGGACTTCCACATGATAGACCATAGTTTGAGTCCCAGACCTGGCAGCTTTCTCTCTCTCTCTAGTCAAGTTGAATAATAATAATTAATAAAATTAACTAATTCTTAAAAAAAAAAAAAAATAGGGACCAGCAGGTGGCATGGTGGTTAAGGTGCTAGACACCACCATATGGTTGACCACGGTTTGAGTCTCAGGCATGGTGGCTTGCTTTCTCACTTTCTCTGTCCCTTTCTCTCTGTCTTTCTCTGGTCAAATTAAAATAAATACATGAATAAATAAATAAATCTTTAAAAGTTAAAACGAAAAATTAAAAAAATAAAAATAAACAAAATTTGAAAACAAAAATTGCCACCTGCCGGCCTGGAAAATGGATCTACTAGCTATCTTCTTGGATCTGGAAATCCAGGGCGAATCTCAGAGCGATGGTGGAGGCCCAGGTGGGGAGCTGCTGGGCCGCAGCCTCAGCCAGGGCTTTAGGTGCTGAAGGTACAGTGCTATGGCTATTCCAGAGCTCCGTCACATGTGACAGGGCCTAGCTCTCTTTCTAAAGAATTATTTAATTTTCTTTATTATTACTATATTTTAATTTGGCCAGAGAGAGAGAGAGAGAGAAAGTGAGAAACGAAGCCATGAGATCTAGGACGCCAACTGTGGTCGGCCATGTGGGAGTCTAGCGCCTCAACCACATCACCTGCCAGCCCCCGAACCTAGTTCTTAGTGACTCCTCGGCTCCTGAAAAAGTATTTGAGGTTAATGTTTGTTTGTTTCTTTTTTTTTTTTTTTTTTGAGAGATGTTTGCTATAGGGTATGTGTGCTCACCGGAGAGACAGAAAGTAAGACATCATTCCCCAGGGGAAAGGGCCACACCACAATCCCTTCTCCTCCATTCTCCTCGGGATTTTGGGCATGCACACATGTGCCCGGTGTTATTTTATAAAGAATTATTTTAGTTAACTTTATTTGTTTTTGGGAACCAGCAGTTAGCGTAATGGCTATGTCACTGGATTCCCACGTAGTCGACCCTGGTTCGCGTCCCGGACCCGGTGGCTTAAAACTCACACCGGGCGCGTGTGCCTGCGTGCCAAAGATCCTGAGAGGAGAATGGAGGAGAAGGGATTGCGGCGTGACCATCCCCCCTGGGGGGTGATTTCTCGCTTTCTGTCTCTATGTCTCTGCCTGGCGAGCGCACGCGCCCTATAGTGAAAAACCTCTCAAAAAAAAAAAAAACTTTATTTGTTTTAATTTGCTCAGAGAGGGACACAGAGAGAAAGGGAAAGTAAACTGTAGTCGGCCATATGGGAGTCCAGTGCCCTTAACCTCCATGCCACCTGCCGGCCCCACGGGGTGAGTTTAAGTCGCTGGGTCTGGGACTTGAACATGGGCGTCTAGGGATATAACGTTACACCATCTGCTGGTCCCAGTAGTTCTTTCTAAAGCAATCCATGTAAACAAGTCTGTAGGGTCTCAGCTCAACTCACGGCGAATACTGACTTGGGAACGTACAGATTGAACACACGGCTGCACCCCACAGAACGCACCGGAATCGACTCCTGCACTCTGCGTATAATTCCACGGGGAGCCAAGGGAGGAGTTGAGCGAAATCCGCTCCAGTGGGTGCCAGCACAGAGAGCTCACCTCGTCAATGAACAGCCGGACCTGGTCCCCCACTTTCAAGTGGCCGTAGATGGTCCCGACGTGCAGCACGTACCCTCCTCGCACCTGCACGTTCTTCACTGTGAACTCGGTTTTCTACAGGTCAGGAGGAGACCAATAAATAAATTTTCTATAAATCACATGTAGATTACATACACACACACACCCACCATTAATGCTATCATAGAAATTAAACGCATGTACACACACCATTCTAAGGAGCATCTTAGAGAATTCCAAAGCCACCCTATGGAACGGGAAGCCTGGGGAGACGAGGTAGCTCATCCCAGACCACAGCGGGCAAGGGCAGGGCAGAGGCCGAGCTGAGTGGAAGGACGCCTGCCCTTCAGAGCTGCCGCCCCAAGGATCTTCCTGCGAGGGCACTTAACTGCTGCAGAGCAACAGGTACGAGCAGCAGCTCCCTCAGCTCGGAAACGTGGACCGTGGAACCAAACAAAGGCCCATCCAGTCTGCCCCCGGCTGCACGCCTGGCCCTCCCTGGCTAAGGAGGAGTGTGGGCTCACGTCTTCACTGCTGTCGTCAGCCTTCACCAGGTAGCCTTCGTCGTAGGTCTGCCCTCCTTGCTCGGCGTAGAAACAGGTCCTGTCCAGCACCACTCCACACTCCTGGCCCGTGAACACCTCTGCCACAAACATCTTCTCCCTGCGCAGAGCCAGCACCGTGGCCACTGTGCTCTCAAACACTGCTCGAAGGGAATGCGGGAGGGGGCCGGGAGAGACAGGGTCAGCGACAATGTTCTCCCTTAGCAGGCTTCTGCTGAGTTCTCTTTCTCCAACCCTCTTCAGGCCCGAATCGTCTAATGTTATTTTGAAAGCAAATCCTTTAGACTCCACAAAAGGGCTTAACATCTTGGTTCTCTATCAGAGAATGCAACACCCAGTCAGGCAACCAACTCGTCCTGGTTTCTAGGACTGACGGGTTTGCTGGGACACAGGCCTTCAGTGTTTAAATGGGGACAGCTGGTCACCCTGAGCTACGGAGCAGAAACTTTGTGGACCTGGTTGGTAGAACTTTAACATCAGTAATAAACTCCTGAGTCCAAGGTCGGCTCGCAGAGACCGTATTCATTGCACGGGTTTGCTCAGATAGATGTAGGTGTAAGATTGTTCTTTGCCAGGACAAAGAAGCAAAAGCAGAGACCAGCAGATGGCACAGCAATTACGTCACCAGACTCCCACATGACCAACTGTGGTTCAAGTCCTAGACCTAGCTGCTTACTTTCTCACTTTCTTTCTCTTGATCTGTCCCTCTCTGATCAAATTAAAATAAATAAAGTTAAACCATTCTTTAAAAAAAAGGCAATTAATTTTTTTTTTTAAAGAGTTTTTTGCTATAGGGTGCATGTGCTCACTGGAGAGACAGAGACAGAAAGTGAGAAATCACCCCTTGGGGGGATGGCCACACTGTAATCCCTTCTCCATTCTTCTCTCAGGATCTTGAACATGCACATACAGGTGCCCAGCGTGAGTTTCAAGCCACCGGATCCGGGACTTGAACTGTGGTCAACTACATGGGACTCCTGCGATGTAACCATTATGCCATTTGCTGGTCCCAAATAAATAATTCTTAAAAAAAAAGAAAAAAAAATCTCCAGCCAAGGGTTTCTGTGAGCGAGAAAGTGCACAGCAGGACCGTACCGCGTCACAGGAGAGGCTGTCGGAGCGCTGCTGCGTACCTGAGACTTGTCCCTTAAAACCACAGATGGGCAGAGAGCTCAGAAGGTGGGGAAGCCCAGAACATACCGTAGTTACCACTGGAGTCCGAGAGGTAATTATACTTCGGAGAGTCATCTGTGGCCTCCAGACCCTTTGCCCGGAGCTCTTCAATGGCATAGATGTCCAGCATGATGAGGTCTTCCCCGCCAGCTCCCTTGCCCTGGGATTTCAGCTGCCAGGGAGAGAGACAAGCACACGTGACCCTGGCTAGCAAAGACAGAAGTCTGAAGAGCTCATGGTTCCTAAACTGTGCCCAACGAGAGCTCTGCAACAGGGTTTTCAGCTTGCTGCTCCTGATGTCTGGAGCCACGCTGCCTCTGCCGTGGGCTGTTCTCTTGCACCGTAGAATGTTAAGTAGTGTCCTTGGCCTCTACCGAGACAGTGGCACCCTGCCCCAGCTGCGAAAAACAAAAATGTCTTCAGACATCATGGCCAAATGCCGCCTAGAACTGTCCCCAGTTGAGAACCACTGGCCTAGGGGAAACAATGTCAAAGGCTTCGATGGAAGGAAAAACAGAACGTCAGAGGCCTCATGCCAGCAGGTGCTGGGTTTCCCATTCACGGTGCAAATTTATACCTGGGCCAATTTCCTTTCCTCTTCGAAGCCATCCATGTCCACCACCAGGCCCTTCTCTTCGGCAATCAGTCCCGTGAGATCCACCGGAAACCCATAGGTGTCATACAGGAGCCAAGCAGTGTCACCTGCACAGTACAAAGGAGAGTGTCAAACGAAGTGGACAGACCCCTGCTTTCCCACGCTAAGCCCTTCCACGAGGATGCTGGGAGGAACAGAATGGAAAAAAGTGACAAGAGAGGTCAGTAGGGTCCGCGGTGCCTGTCAAAATCCACCTCCGGATTGACTTAGAGGAAGCACGGAGGTCTCCCACAAAACTTCCGTTCCTCCATCTGAACAAGTATGTTGTGTTTGCGAAAATCCATCAAACCTTATGCTTCATATGTCAATTGAAAAGAAAAAGGCCATCTGGAGGCGTGGTGGTTAAGGCAGCTGGAACCTACATGGCTGACTGCGTGCTTCGAGTCCCAGACCTGGTGGCCTGAAAGACACATCAGGCACATGTGTGCGTGCCCCAAATCCTGAGAGGAGAATGAAGAAGGGATCGTGGCCTGGCCACACCCCTGGTGGTGGTGGGGGGGTGTCTTCTTTCTTCTTCTCACTAGTGAGCACACATGCTCTATAGTAAACTTAAAAAAGAAAGAAAGAAACTTTGGAATTAACTTTCTCATCTGACCAAAACGAAAGCAATGCCAAAATAGTATATATCAAATGTTCCCATTTTTGTTTAAAAAATACACATATCCTATCCAGAGTACATGCATACACCCTTACCTGTATTTACACGTAAATAGAGAAAATCCTGAATAATTAATTATGTACCAACTGCCTAAGAGTCATCACCTCTGAAAAATGAGTCTGGGAAAGAGGATTTCTACTTCTTCCTTCTGTATTATATGGTAAGGTTTTTCTTTCCTTTTTTCCAATTGCCAGAGGGCACACGTGCTCATCAGAGAAAGAAAGGGGGCGGGCATGGTCACTCCACCGCCCCTTCTCTTTCTCCCCACTTGTGGGCTTTGGAACACACACATACATCTGGCATGTTTTTCAAGTTGTCAGGTCCAGGACTCAACTGCACAATCAGCCCTGTGAGATCCACCTCTCGACGGGTCCACCCACTTCTGTACTGCTTAAAAAAAATTTTTTTTGGTAGAGATTTTTTCCTATAGGGCGTGTGTGCTTGCCAGCAAGAGACAGACAGACAGAAGGCAAGAAATCACCCCCCACGGGGGATGGCCATGACGCAATCCCTTCTCCTCCATTCTCCTCTCAGGATCTTGGGCACGCACGCACACATGCCCAGCGTGAGTTTAAGCCACTGGGTCTGGGACTCGAACCGCAGTCGACTACATGGGAGTCCAGCGACACGGCCATTATGCTAACTGCTGGTCCCCACTGCTTAAATATTTTTACACAGAAAAATACATCATGATTTCCCTGATGACCTAGTCTTAGTACTTTTGTAATTTTGCTGTAAATCTCATTTTCCAGCAAAAGTACTGTAACCAACTACATTTGTCCCAGGGGTCACAGAAGCCCCTTGTCTATTTGGGGAAGAGGGAAGAGGCTCGCCTTCCCCAGAAAGAAAAGCCGGCAGGTGGACCGTGGCACGGACTGGTCCTCACCGGGGATGGTCTTGCTGTCTCCCAGGCTCTGGATTTTCCTGTCCAGGATGCGACGCCCTCGGCTGAGGGTCTTGAGAAACTGTACTTCTTCTTCATTAATGATGTCCTTCACCATGTCGGGGTCCTTCTTTAGCTCAGGAAATGCATCTCCCTGACAAACGGGGAATAGGTGCAGGGCCTGATGAAGCCGAGACTGCTCTCAAGGATGCCCGTGCACAGCGTGCTGCGTCCCTGCCTCGCGCTCCCCAACCACGCGCTAGTACGGGAGAGGGCCTGGGGCAGGAGCCTACCAGGGACTGGACCACGACGTCCACCAACGTGGCGAAGAAGCCCCGGCTGGCGTTGAGTTTCTCATGGGAGTAGCGGACAGCCCGGCGTAGGATCCGGCGTAGCACGTACCTGTAGGAGGAAGAACTGGTCCCCGTTAGACACTGGTCACAGGGGAGGGTCTGGCCGTGCGTCTTTGGAACTTTTCCCAAAGCGCATGCACAACTTTTGGTCTTGCTCTTTCTGAGACTTTCTTTTATCCGAAGCCTACTTCTTTTTGCACTCCTCAAGGTCAAGATTAATTCCACCGTGAAACTCCATAACATACCCTCAAACACACCCTCAAACACGACAACGATCCAGGATAAACCTGAGTTATTGTCCTCCCACGTACAACTACCCAAAGAGGGAAACAGGAAATAGGCCCAGATGCAAGCTGATGCCCTGGTCCAGGCCCTGCTTTCAGTAATGGTTTCCTGGGGTGAGTCAATACCTTCCCCACCCTGAGCTGAAACTCCCTTCATGCTTTCATTCAAAAGGGAGGGACATGCCCCTAACTTCCCAGAAGACAGAGGAAGCCATCATAAAGTGTAAGTTCCATAAGGAGTCAGGGGACTCCCGCGGCAGTCTGAACACACTCACCCCCGCCCCGTGTTGTCAGGCCGGCCGCCATCGGCCCCGTGATGGTCCGAGCGTGGTCAGCCAGCACGCGGTAGGCCATGTCGATCCCATCAGTGTCGTCAGCGCCGACTTTCCCGCTGTACGGCCGGGCACCTGTGCCCTGCGGAAAAAACCAGGAGCAGCCCCTCAGGTGCTGCTCTGCCCAAGGCCCTGCAGGACTGAGCAGCATTAGGAGAAGGGATGACCAGGACCAGCAGGTGGCATGGTAGTTAAAGGCGCTGGACTCCTACATGGCCAACTGCAGTTTGAGTCCCGGACCTGGCGGCTTGCGCTCTCTCTGTTCAAAACTGAAAAATAATAATATTCTTTAAAAAAAAAAAAAAAAAGATGACCATTCTTGCCAGATCCTAGAACTCCGAGAACACTGACAGGAGAGTCAAGAGCCGTTAGCCAGTCCCCCCACACAAGAGTGACAGGGCCCTGTGCCTTGAACCTTATGTCATCAGCAATGAAGTGGACAGAGGGTGACGTGGTACCTTTAGCAGGCAAAACACAAGACCATTTCATCATTTATCATTTTAAGAGAGGTTTTCGCTATAGGGCATGTGTGCTCACCACAGAGACAGAGAGAGAAAGCGAGAGATCACCCCCCTCGGGGGGATGGTCACACCAATCCCTTCTTCTCCAGTCTCCTCGTGGGCTTTTGGGCATGTATGCACACACGTCTGGTGTGAGTTTCAAGCCTCTGGGTCTGGGACTCGAACTGCGGTCAACCGTGTGAGAGTCCAGCAATGTAACCATTATGCCATCTGCTGGTCCTATTATTGTCTTTTCTTTTTTTAAAAAAAAGAATTATTTATTTAACTTATTATTTTAAATTTGCTATAGAGCATGCATGCTCACCAGAGAAAGGTGGGGAGAGGGAAAGTGAGAAAGCCAGCCATCAGATCTGGGACTCGAGCCGCAGTCAGCCATGTGGGAGTCGAGTGTCTTAACCACTATACCAAGCATTGGCCCCAAGGTCATTTCATCTTTGACAGCACCGCTACGAGTCCAGCCTGGCAACCCCCCAGAAGCTTGCAGTGTTCGCAGTAGGACCAGTACCTTCTGAATGGCTTCAAAGTAAGGGACAAACAGGTCAGTGTCGTAGTTGGACATCTTATTCTGCAGCACAGACACCAGTCGCTCCAGGCCCATCCCTGTGTCAATGCTCTTCTTGGGCAGAGGTTTCAAAATGCCGTCAGTCTCCCTGCGTGACCCAGAAGAAGAAGAGGTTGAGGCAGGGACTCAGGCTGCCACCTCCCCGGTCCCTGCTGGCTACAACTCATTTGCACAGCACCGTTTACAGGGTGAAGCTATTTGCCATTTGCCTCGGCCTGGCTCAGCAGGCAGAGGGGAGCAGACGAAGGGAAGGAGAAATTCCCAGCGGGGTGCACTGGAGAGAGAGGCAGGCCTTAAGAAAATGAGTTCTAAAACAGTGGCCCAGATTACAGCAAGAAGGACACCACAAGAGTGGCCCTCAGAAAAGTACTGTGTTTATAAAGGAATAGCCCAGGGAACCAGCAGTTAGCGTAATGGCTATGTCGCTGGACTCCCACGTAGTCGACCGCGGTTCGTGTCCCAGACCCGGTGGCTTAAAACTCACGCCGGGCGCGTGTGCGTGCGCGCCCAAGATCCCGAGAGGAGAATGGAGAAGGGATTGCGGCGTGACCATCCCCCTTGGGGGGTGATTTCTCGCTTTCTGTCTCTATGTCTCTCTCTGTCTGTCTGGCGAGCGCACGCGCCCTACAGTGAAAATCTCTCAAAAAAAAAAAGGAATAGCCCGGCCCTGTCCCAGACATCAGAGGGGAAACTGAGAAATAAAACATAAAGAGTGTGCCGAAGGCTCCATGTGTCTAGAGCCTGCGTCAGCACTGCTCGTGTGCCAGGGACCAGGTAACAAAGGGCCTTCAACTAAGACAGCCAGGCCGCTCTGGACTCCTCCTCCACTGAGCTCAGAGCAGGAGCCCTCGGCCACCTGTTATACTGGATGAACACAAGGTTCCAGATCTCCAGCACGTTGGGGTCGTCTTGGTTGACGAGGTGTGCGGCGTCCCGACCACCGATCCGGTCAAAGTGGATTTCACTGCAGGGCCCACATGGGCCCGTGTCGCCCATCTCCCAGAAGTTATCTTTCATGTTGCCAGGGAGGATTTTGCTGTCATCCAGCCTGTACGGAGCAGAAAAGGTAAGCCCAGTTAGAGTGGCTGGCCAGGATTTTGCATCCTCCATCCCAAAGAAACCATGACGATTTTCTCTAGAGAGGTCACGTTCTTTGGCAATCACGAATGCGAAGCCTGCACGTAAACCCTGCTGAAGAGGCAGAGCCTGACTCTCCTCAAGAGTGGCTAGGAAGCCAGCAGTTAGCGTAATGGCTATGTCGCTGGACTCCCACGTAGTCGACCGCGGTTCACGTCCCGGACCCGGTGGCTTAGAACTCATGCCGGGTGCGTGTGCGTGCGTGCCCAAGATCCCGAGAGGAGAATGGAGGAGAAGGGACTGTGGCGTGACCATCCCCTCTGGGGGGTGATTTCTCGCATTCTGTCTCTATGTCTCTCTCTGTCTGTCTGGCGAGCGCACGCGCCCTATAGCAAAAACCTCTCAAAGAGTGGCTACAACACAATAAAAATACTGGGTGCATGGAAAAGTCATGATGCATTTTTGCATAGAAAAATATATCAAGACTTTTCCAAGTACCCAATGTATGTATTCTATGGTTGTAACTCAGTAAAAGTATGCGGAGAGATAAATAAAGCCAAGACAGGAACATAGACAAATGAAAACACTTTTGCTGAGCATGGCCAGAACTGAAGGAACTACTTTTCTTCGCAACTGTTCATTTTTCAAGTACAATACAATGAATGTATGAAAAGGTAATGCTCCCAGTCATTCCCAACTGCATCTCAAATGCACAACACAGGGGCCAGCTGGCCTAGTGGTTAAGGGAGCCAGATCCCACATGGCCAACTGCAGATCAAATCCTGGCCCTGGTGGCCTAAGAAACATGCTGGGCATGTGGTGTGTGTGCCCCAGATCCAACAGGGTGGAGTAATGGAGGAGAAGGGACTGGAGTGTGACCGTGCCTCATGGGAGTGTGTTCTCCCGTCCATCTCTTTCAGGCCAGCTCACATACCCTTTAGCAATTCAAACAAACAAAAAACTACAGGGGCTGGACTCCCACATGATCAACCATGGTTCAAGTCCTGGATCTGGAGATTTACCTTCTCACTTTCTCTCTCTCTCTCTCTCGCTCGCTCTCTGGTCAAATTAAATGATGATGATGATGAATAAAATGAAGTAAGTATTAAAATAAAAACCTACAAAACAGGAAATGGCAGTGTACTCTAGATAATGCGACTTCAGGGAGAGAGAGTCTATACCTCCATGTGCTCCATGAGTGAGCTGCATTCTTACCCCAAGTTTTGCCAAATCTGCTTGCACTCCAGATCTGGTTCTAAGCCAGCTGCCTCATCCCCACCGAAGTAAGTCACGTAAAGTCTTTCCACTGGAATGCCAAACTCTTCAGTGAGCAGTTCCAGAGCCATCTTACATGCCAATTCCTGAAAAAGAAAGAAACAGAGTCAACCCAAAATCTATGTAGTATGCCTAGAAAAAGACCAGATCCTAGGAACACGGATACAAAACTACATCTTCACTACAAATTCAACCAAATTCAGGGCCGATTTATATTTTTAAAAAGTCTGAAAATACATTAAAACCATCAAATTACAGGTACTACTTCCAAGAAGTTTTAGGTTTAATAAATGCCTTTTGCTACTGAATCTCCTAAATGACATTTCTTATTTTTAAACAAGCAAAATTACAGGGCCAGCAGGTGGCATGGTGATTAAAGGTGCTGGATTCCCACATGGCCAACCATGGTTCAAGTCCCAGACCTGGTAGCTTCCTTTCTCCCTTTCCCTCTCTCTCTCTGGTCAAATTGGAAACTACTACTAATGAATAGAGTTAAAATTAAAATAATTCTTAAAAAAAAAAAAAAGAGCAAAACTACAATAGAAACAGTTCCCTCGATGGAAATGACCATGTAACTTACCGGTTCTGCTCGGAGCTTACCTTGAAGTAATCCCCGAAAGACCAGGACCCCAACATCTCGAAGAAGGTGTGGTGATAGACGTCCTTGCCCACGTCATCCAGGTCATTGTGTTTGCCCCCCGCCCGGATGCATTTCTGGGTATTGGCAGCTCTGCTCAGCTTTGCCATAGGGTGAGATGGGTCAATCGTGTTCAGGAAGATGGGTTTGAACTACAGAAAGAACAAGAATGGAAGGGGATCAGCTTCTACAAGGCGGCAGATCAGGAAGCGGCAGGCGAGAAAAGCCCACATGTAAACTGTGCAGTTCGGGATTTAACCTGGAGCCTGGAACCCAGACACTTACAAGGGGCAGGTGGCTCGAAGGAGCCAAAGCACAGGTAGCCTAGCAAGTGCCCCATGGTCCACTGCAGTGACACCACTTGTGCAGGGCAAACGCCTGCTGGAGGCTGAGGCAGCGAAACCTTCCCCAGGTTGACAGCTTTCTGGACGAGCTCAATCTAAAACCAACATGTTCACTCGGTAGCAAAGGCGATGAGGAAGAGCCAAATGTGAGACATATTGAGGGACTGAGTCATGAGAAGATGAATGATTGGACAGGGAGGGAGGTTCCACAAGATCACGCGGTGGCCGACAGACTGGGATCTGTGCGACGCCAGGGGCCGTGTTTTCTCACTACTCAGCTGCCTCTGTGCACAAACAAACCAAGAGGAAGAGGAAAGTCATCTGTAGCCTAGTGGTTAAGAGAGCTGGATCCCACCCAGCTGACAGCGGTTCAAATCCTGGCCCTGGTGCTTTGGAAAACCTGCCTGGCACATGTGTGTGAGTCCCCAAATCTGTAACAGGGGGTGCTTTCTCCCCCACCAGGCCCACCTCTGGCAAGCATACGTGAAGAAAGAAAAGCAACCCTTACCTGGTTCATGCCTGCGTTTGCAAAGAGCAGCGTGGGGTCATCCAGTGGGATGGTGGCAGAGGAGTGAACATACGTATGTTCGTTTCTCTTGAAAAAATCTATAAACCGGGACCGGATGTCACTTGCTGTGAGGGTCGAGTCCATCTTGAAAGTCACCCCAAAGAACTAACCAAAGGAAAAAGATAAAGGGGAAATTGAAACTAAAACATAAGTAAGCATTACATAATACTCCTAGCTTCTCAAGCCAAGTCCAAGCAGGACACGAACAAGGTGTTTGATCCTAAAACCTCTGGGTTGTAAGTCCAAGGCCAAGATCACCATCAAAACGAAACCTGCCGCGCCGGCAGACAGCAGCTGCGAGATTCTGCCCTCCCATCAGCCGCGCGGGCGCGGTCCAGCTCCCCAGGTAGAGCAGGAGGTGGTTTATCCGTGCGCTCATTCATTCATTCAGCTTCCACTTGGTGTCCGGCCATAGCCCAGGAATTAGGACAGGAGACTAAAGACCCTCGGTCTTTACAGTGCAGAAATGTCCACTGGGGAAGGGAGAGGCTCCGAGATGCAGGTTCCAGTCCTCAGCCCAAGTCCTTGAGGGGGAGACTTCACCAATGTGCAGAAAGTCTGGACCCAACTCTATCATTAAATAAGCCACTTGGCCTGAGTTGGATTCTTTTTCTGTAAAGAGCTGGTCTCTAGGGACCAGCAGTTAGCGTAATGGCTATGTTGCTGATCCCCCATGTAGTCAACTGCAGTTCGCGTCCCAGACCTGGTGGCTTAAACTCACGCCGGGTGCGTGTACGTGCGTGCCCAAGATCCCGAGGGAGAATGGAGGAGAAGGGATTGCAACATGGCCATTCCCCCTCGGGGGTGATTTCTCGCTTTCTGTCTCTGGCGAACGCATGTGTTCTACAGCAAAAATCTCTTTCTTAAAATAAATAAATAAACCCCCCATGTTTACAAATTACCCAGAATCAAGTATTTTCTGTTATTAGCAACACAACAGACTAGAACCGAAACAATCTATAAAACAGTGGATAATAATATTTAAGTCACTTAGGGGATCAACAGATGGCGTAATGGCTACATCGCTAGACTCCCATGTAGTCGATTCTTGCTTTCTGTCTCTGTCTTTCTGGCGAGCACAGGAGCCCTATAGCAAAAACCTCTCCAAAAAAAAAAAAAAAAAAAAACCAACAGTTGATGTAATGGCTATGTTGCTGGACTCCCATGTAGTCGACCACAGTTCGAGTCCTGGATCTGGTGGCTTAAACTCATGCTGGGCGTGTGTGTGCGTGTGCCCAAGATCCTGAGAGGAGAATGGAGGAGAAGGGATTGCGCCGGTGTGGCCATCTCCCCTGGGGGGTGATTTCTCACTTTCTATCTCTGTCTCTCTCTGTCTTGCTGGCGAGAGTATGCACCCTATAGCAAAAACCTCTCCAAAAAAAAAATTAAGTCGCTTAGCTAAAAATGTTCTTCTTGGGACCAGCAGTTAGCGTAATGGCTATGTCGCTGGACTCCCACGTAGTTGACCGCGGTTCGAGTCCTGGACCCGGTGGCTTAAACTCACGCCGGGCGCGTGTGCATGCGTGCCCAAGATCCCAAGAGGAGAAGGGATTGCGGCGTGGCCATCCCCCCTGGGGGGGGATTTCCTGCTTTCTATCTCTCTATCTCTCTGTCTCTCTGGCGAGCGCACGCACCCTATAGCAAAAACCTCTCCAAAAAAAAAAAAAATGTTCTTCTTATGAGGAAGCTACAAGAAAAAAACGATGTACACTATGAACACAAGACCCTGACTTTCAGATTGATGTTTAACCATGATTTCAATCCATTTACTCACAATTCAATCAATGCATTACTCAAGAAAAAGCCCTTAGGCAAAAAATGGTGAAATACTGGCTGAGAGGGCCAAAGAGCTGACCCAAATCCCACAGATGGGGACTTGCTGTCCCTGTCAGAGACTCAAGGCTCAGGTTTTTATTAAAGAAGCATGGTCACAGGACCAGCAGTTAGCGTAATGGCTGTGTCGCTGTACTCTCATGTAGTCGACCGCGGTTCGAGTCCCGGACCCCGTGGCTTAAAACTCACGAAGGGCGCATGTGCGTGCGTGCCCAAGATCCCGAGAGGAGAACGGAGAAGGGATTGCGGCATGACCATCCCCCTGGTGGGGGGGGCATGATTTCGTGCTTTCTGTGTCTCTGTCTGGCGAGCGCACATGCCCTATAGCAAAAACCTCACCCAAAAAAAAAAAAAAAACAAAAACTGTGTTATTTAAAAATTAAAAAAAACAAAAAAGAAGAAAAGAATCATGGTCACCACATTTTTCCTCATCCCCACTCATCCTGGTTCTCAATGACTCTTCAATGGTTAAAGTGAACTTACGGCAATTCTTATTTTGCAGAAACATCATGGCTGTTTCAGAAAACTGATTTCTCCTCGTCTAACAGGTAATAAGTTAAAGTCTAAAAGACACATGAATTTCCCATTTTTGCTTACTCATTCAACATGATGAATGCATACTATGCGTTGGGGATCAAAATGAATGAGAGTCTATGTCCTTCATGGGGAACGCCTGCATATATAGAAGAAACTGCACTACGGACCCGATAGGACCTACATATAGGATCCTACATAAGAAGATCAATATATTGACTAATCATAGTTCACCCTGTGATGTCTGGAACTAGTAAAAGCTGTGTGTCCCTCCCCCCCACCACTCATTCATTTATTCAGCATAAACATATTGCTAGGCTGCATGGGGTGAGGACAGCACAAAGGCAGGACTTCACGTGTCACTACCCACAGGGGCCATAAACGCCTTGCCTACCTTAAAGCACACTGGTTCCAGCCACAGGACCTTGTAACATGCTCCTCTCCTGCCAGGCAAGCTCTCTGTCCTACCCCTATTTCTTCCCTTTTCCTTCCTATGTATCATTTTTGAGATTTCGATTCCAAATAAACATATTTAAGGACGCATCCCCTTCTTGATCAGTGTCTCCCTTCCTAATACTGTCTTGCATCTGCTGGCTTGTTTTAGCGCCCATCTCGGGATCTGGCTGTAAATTCCACCCCAGCGGGAACCATTACAGTAGTCGTGAGCACCTAGCACAGGAGTTACTGAACACTTACTCCACGGCGAGGTACTAACACAGTAACAGCAAGCTCGGAATGAACTCCCATGCTGCACTCCAAACCCACGGGGAAATGCAACTGTTTGAAAGCCTGGTAACAGCTGACCATGATGGTCCAGGTGGACCTGGACCGGTATCAGCTATTTATTAATAGTTCACCTTAAGAACTTAGGGAACGGCTCACAGCGGGACTCCACCCATCTAGTCCAATTCTCTTCCACCCTTCCACTGATCCCTAGCGGATTACAACCACGGGAGACACAAACTCAGCTTCGGTCGGGTACCCGGATAGTACCAAAGTCGAGGCTTCTCGGTTCCCTGCATGCCAGGGAGCTGACCCAGGGCTGCAGCCGGATCCCAGTCCAGCCCAGACTCGGACCCCACTCCAACCCAGGCCTGATCCCTAAGGCCACGCGGGGCCTGGCGCAGGGACCCGCTGTGTCCGCCGCGCTTCCTCGACCCCTTTATCCCTCCCTAGGCTTTGAAGCCCTCCGCATCTACCCGGGATGGCGGTCCTGGATCCTCTCTTAGAGCCCACCGCCAGGCACCTATAATTACCTGCTCCCGAAGATGCGCAGCTCCACCAGCCTCAAGCCACCACCGGCTGCAATCCGCAGCGCTCTGGCCAATCAGAGCACGCCGCCGGAAAGCGCCCCCCTGCACCTGACTCTGCGAGACATTATTGGTCCGTATAAACGTCAATCGATCTGAGCACGAATCAGCTTATTAAGTGGCTTCTGAGAAGGAGGAGCTCAATCGGCTGATGCAATGGCGGGCAAAGATGGGACCCGGTGCGTCACGTGAGCGGGTTGGATGCGGGCTCCTGGAGGCCGGCATTTTGGTTTCCGTAGGCCAAGTCCGAGCGGTTGACAGCGTTAATAAGGGGACGCAGTAACGCGTGTTTGGTAAAGATCACAGGTCTTGGAATAGTCATGTTCATTTTAGTAGCAAAACGGTATGTGGACCTGAAAGATCTCTGTGTCCATGTACGCTTGTCCTTGCCAGACCTTGACGTTGGCGTGGAGGAAGGAACAGTACTTGGGGGATAATTGAATCGGCCTCTAGTCCTCCACTGGCCTTTGACAAATAATAGTTAATATTTACATGCAAGATACTGAATTTAACTTTCACCTAGCTTGGGCCAGCAAGTGGGTGGTGGTGAAGGTACCAGACTCCCGTATGGTTAACCTCGTGGAATCCCGACCGCTGCTTAAAAGCATGCCTGGCACTTCTGTGTGTGCACCCAAAATCCTAAGGGGAGCACGGAGGAGAAGGGATTGTGGTGGGGCCATCCTCTTGGGTGATTTTTCTCTT